GGGGTGGGGTGGGGCGGCAGGGTGGAAGTGCCCTGGCGACACCTATAAACTTGCCGCTCGGATCGTCGGAGCGTCAATATCCCCACACCGCGGCCTTCGTCAGTGTGTGTGTGCGTGTGCGTGCGTGTGTGTGTGTTGTACGCCCCCGGGCTGAACAGGGCACGGAGAGGGAGGGGACTGGGATGGCGCTGACCGCCGGCCAGAGGCATTCGAGAGTAGATCGAAGCACGCGCGCGTGCGGCCCGTTCCATCAAGCCGTCGGGGCTGGAGGAGCAGGGAGTGAGCTGGGCGGCGGCGCTGTATACAGGGAGAGCAGCGTCGGTGACCTCGCCAGCCAGGCCCCAAGGTCACGGCGAGGGGCTTCCCTCTTTGTCATCAACGCAAGTACTTATGGATCGGGGGCGCGCGCCCACCCCGCCGTGCCCGACCACCCCTCCTCCTGCTGGGTCTCTCTCTCTCTGGCTTTGGAAAAGTTTTTGTTCCTTAAACTTAAACATGACCTCCCGCGAACAGACCCGGCCCCGTCTCGCCTCTTCCCCCGTTAATTCTCTCGCTTTTGGCGGCGCACGTTTCACATGGAATCAGAAGCGGCGTGCCGAGTTCCCTCCGTCTATATCGCTTCCCTTCGCGAGAGACAAAAAGGCTCCTGCTTTGAGCTTTCAGACGGACGGCTCACGGCTTACCTCCTCCTCCTCCTCCTCCTAGTCTACGGTCTTGCTCGCTACGCTCTGCTGCCCTTCAAGGCTCGATTTCGCCTGGCATTGTTTCAATTTCTTTTCTCTGGAGCGACTTTTTAATAAAATGAGAGGTGCTGGCCGCGGGGAGTTATTCACAACTTAGTGGGGGGATGGCGGGGAGTGGGCGAGCAACACCGACTGTAGCGGGAGGAATCCGCTTGCTGTTTCACACCGAAAGGATTTTCGCTCGGTTCAGACATTAAGCCTCCCTGCTCTGTCTGCTGCCCAGAGCAGAGCATCAGACCCACTGCCGCCGTGACTGTTGTTGGGGTTTGGTGTGGCGGGGTGTGGTGAGGTGTGTGTTGTGTTGGCGAGGACCCCGACATGGCTCAGCGCGATGCATTCAGGACGCCCAGCGTCCCACATATGGTACAAAACTCACTTCGCCAGGAGGGTGGGCTCACCGCCGCCGGCCCGGGCGCCAGTTCAGTTTATAATATGGATTTCATCAAAGTCTAAATAGAGTTACGTTCGAATTTACGCATAGTTTGTTTTGCCGTTGACCGTATAGGTTAACATTTTCATGTTAGATAAAGAGCCGAGCGTAGATGAATAGGTAATGGGTTGTGTGGGCGAATGATGGTGTTCTAGTTAGAAGTACTCGAAGTACTATGGCTTTAGTGGTTTAGTCCTCTACCGAGTGGGCCATCACGGTCATCCAGGCCTCAAAAGATCTCTGAGCTGGAACGACCACCAATAGGGCGGCGTGGCGAGCGCCTGCGGGCGGCGCGTAGGCAGTCCCGCCGGGCCGGCGCGCCCAGCGGGCGGCCTACCGCCGGGGCGCTCTGCGCCTCGCTCGCTCGTTCGCTCGCCCGCAGCCAGCAGCCAGCTCGCCCACGCCGCCGCCAGTCATCGCGAGAAGAGTAATGAATACGGGGCGTTGTGTAACGAATGGCGGAGCAGCGCTCCATCGGAATTCTGTTGATAGACTTGGCACCCTCGCCGTGTTGTAGTAGTTGTGGCGGAGAGAGAACCTTTACCCACCCTCACCACCTCCCGCCCGCCCCGCAATACCAGGCTCACCCCACCCTGACCCTCTTGGACCTCTTTTTCCATCGTGTGCGACGAGGAGGGCAACACACTAGTAGGTCGATAGAGTGATGGATGATGTGGACGTCATCGGGGCTGAGCAGAGGCAGGGACGGGGCAGGGCGGGGCGGGGC